GAGAGAGAGAGAGAGAGAGAGAGAGAGAGAGAGAGAGAGAGAGAGAGAGAGAGAATATTGCATTCCAGAGATGGAGCTAGCTGAGTAGTTAGGGGCACTGTAAGTTTTTTCATGGCACTTAGGGTAGGGGCAGTGTGTTGGATACCATCCTTTTCCATCCCCCATCATTGCTTTACCACCATACACATGTCCACACCATACAAGAGCTCTAAGAATAACACTGGACCAGAGGCTCACAATGGGATTTTAAAGCAAGATATAACCTTCTTGTAGCTGTGGGTGCAGTGAAAATACCTCATCCTTCTTTCCATCCTTTCTGCCTCCTCACCAGACTACTTCTCACATATGGGACCAAAGGAGGGAAAGCAGTTACTTGGGGTATGTGGGTTGTCTTGCTGACCCTTTCCTCTCTCCTGTCTTCTGTGGTGGGTAATTCAAGTGCTCCATCATGTCTGGTGGGAGGGACCCACGTCTTCAAGAAGCTGAAGCAGCATTGGACTCCCTTCCTGTGGTGGGGGAGCTGTGCCAGTTGAGGGTGTATGTCTGTGTGTGTGTGTGTGTGTGTGTGTGTGTGTGCGAGAGAGAGAGAGAGAGACAGAGAGAGAGACAGAGAGAGAGAGACAGACAGACAGACAGACAGATCATTGGATCATAGATCTGGAGTTGGAAGCATCCTCTAAAGTTCCTTCCTTTTATAGAGCTGTCCCAGGGATGCTTAAATGACTTGTCCAAGATCACAGATAGGAAGTGTCAGAGGTAGAATTTGAATGCAGGTTCTGTGATGCCAGGGTCTGTGCTCTCCCCACTGAACTGTGCCAACTTCCCTTTGATATCTGAGAGACCAGGTCACCTGACACATGGGCAGCTGTCTTAGATGAATGACCCCATGGAAAAGCCTTGCGGTAGCTCTCAATTCCCTTCTCCTTCCCCAGCTTGTTATGACCAGGTCCAGGGCTGGGTGTGATCAGTGTCTGTTTTTATCTGTTCCAGCTGTGTTGGTGTGGAAGAGGAGGAGGCACCAGATATCGACATATACCATTGTCCAAACTGTGAGAAAACTCACGGAAAGTCTACCTGTAAGTATATCAGCCTTTGGGAACATGGCCTGTCCAGAGCCGATTACTTCTTTGCCCACCCTGTCCTGGTATTTCATAGGATTATGGTGGGTCTAGGCTTGCCTCTCGCCTAGGGACCTGAGAGATTAAATTGCTTGTTCAGGGTCACATGTGTTCTCACACATGTGACATGGACCAGCCCCCCAGCCCCTGCCACTCCCCAATACAACGTGTGCCTCTGTGTTGTCCATCTTCTCTACTGTCTGGCTCTGGGCCCATCCATGGGGCTGAAGGCTTTCATACTATTGTTCAGTGACCTGCTCTCCACTTTTCTGGGTTAGCCCATAGATAGATTCTGGGAAGCTTCTGACTTAACTGGTTAAAGTTCTTTGAATTCTTTAATTACCTTAATACCCTGACCCCCTAGTTTGGAGCTTTTAAGAGTGTGGAATGTTGCTGCTCTTGGTGAACTAATTAACAGATTGTTTTCATTGTGCTTTTAAGTAGAAAAAGCAGGAAAAGATTTTTGCCTGGGGTTTAAAAGGGGCCATTTTCCAGACGCTTATTAGCTCCTATCCAGAAAGCTCAACATGCTGGTTGACTTTAAAAGACATGGGGACAAAACAAAAACAAAAAAACAAACCTTATAAACCCCCTTTCAAGAATTTGAGCCTGGACTGCTGTCTGACAATTTTTTCATATCTTTGAGGTGACTCAAAGCTACTGCAGGCCGGCCTATGGAGCAGGTGGCGGGTTACCGAAGGCTTAACTGCTGCCTGTGAGAGCGGTTCGGGTGGAAAATCTGGGCGGGGTGACTGGGGACATCCGGAATTAGGAGCTGCAGGAGGCAGATTTGGGAATACAGAAGAAAGTGGGAATTTTTACTTGTTTGTTTTCTTCACCTGCTGAGGGCTTAAATAAATAGAAAAGCACAGGCTCTTTGGTGAAAGTTCGGATTAGGGGGCATATGGGGTTACAAACTGTGTGACCTCTAAGCCCTGGTCTTTGAGACAGGAGACCTGGATTCCATTTCTGGTTTTGATACTGATTCGCAAACTTCTTCTTTCAGGGCCTCAGTTTCCCCATGTGAAAACAAGGCATCATTGTACAATGACTTTAGTTCCCCCATCTTTAAAATGATTGAACTAGATGGCCCCTGAGGACCCCTTCCACCTCTAAAAACATTTGATCCTATTAGGAGGTGGTTTCCAAGGTCTCTGTTACAGCTTGCATGGATTGTAATTCAGAGATTCTCCCCTCTCTGGAAACTGAAAGGGGGGCTAGCCTAACTATCCTGACTAAGAAAGACCCATCTCCCTAACACTTGAGAGTGTGACTTCTCTTCAAGGCCAAATCCACGTGCCATGATAGCAACACCTTACAGATATTTCACATCCTTCAGATGCTTGGGGTCAGAGTCAACAGAATAGAGGGAAAAGAACACTTAATTTAGATTCAGAAGACCTTGGTTCAAGTCATGGCCCCACTTCTTGCAGTGAGACCTCTTTGTGGCCCAGTTTTCTCCTCTTTACAGAGGAGAATCATTTTATAATGAAGTTTCGGGGCTAGGTGATCCTCAAAGTCCCGTCTAACACTCGACCATTGTGAGTCTACAGGTCTTTATTTCTATAAGGTCTGATTCTTAATAATAAACTGCCACTCTGGCTAAGTAGGAATAGAAGTAATTCACCATGCTATGAGCAGATCATTGGCTGTTCATAATAATAGTTAGATAACACTTTAATGTTTGAAAAGCACTTTATGAATATTACCTCATTTAATCCTCATAACAGCCCCAGGAGGTGGATGCTCTTATTTTATTTCTTAATTGAGGAAACTGAGGCAAACAGAGGTTAAATAACTTGCCCAGGGTCACTAAGCTGGTAAGTGTCCGAATCTGGATTTGAACTGAGGTCTTCCTGACTGCAGGCCCAATGCCTCATCCACTGTACCACCAGCATCATTTTGCACACTCATCAACAATGGGGACATGTGCCACCATCCTTGTTAGAGCAGAGAAGGGACATTGTTAGCCCAGTCCAGCCCCAGCCTCTGAGATACCTTTGCTCCCTTAGAACCTGGCTGTGTCGGCCTTGAGGAGAACAGAATACCTGCTTGTCTTGCTTTCTGTCTCTAGATTTTATTGAGTTCATTTACCATGACCCTCAGGCTGTCAGAACGCCTTTTCACCCATAGTCATGCTTCTGAAACCTTAGGCATTCTATAACAGGTTAATTTCCCAATTGTAATTC